ACCGGTCGTAGCCAATCGCAGGGCACACAGAGACGAACAACCATCCGCGCTCACACTCCCACCTAGGGACAGTCTTGAGTGTTCAATCAGCCTGCCATGCATGTTTTTGGAATGTGGGAGGAAAGCGGAGCACCCGGAGAAAACCCACGCAGGCCCGGGGAGTACATGCAAACTCGACACAGGAAGGCCGGAGCCGGGAACGAACCCACGACGTCTGCACTGTGAGGTTGACGCGCTAATCACTGGACCACCGCCGCCCAATACGTTTTCAGTACATCTTATATGTAGTTCAGTTTTCCGCTATTTAAGTCGTAATCCCCTTCAGCATTGTTGAGTACTCCATGTGTTTGTCATTATCTTGGCTTAACAGACACCGGGAGGACTAAAGGAACTAGATTGCAGGTTGGCGCAGCACTGTTTTGGTTTGTCCACTTCATAAAAAAAATATATATATATATTTTCAAATGAAAAAGTCCTCGTAATTCATGGAATAGCAGCAAGACAAAAAGGCAAAAAGCACCGTGACTGAAAACGCTTTCATCGCAAATTCAGAACCTTCAATCGTAAAATTGGACATGGACTCAGAATTGGTTGTGTTCTACACACTTTCTTAGTCAGACTTTACACACTTTCAGTTTAAAAAAAATTACACAAGACATTACAGTACATATTTGTCTGAAAAAGGAGACACTGGACAGACTTTTTGGGTGGACTACTGGCAGTGTTCTGATGTATGATTGTAGGCGTTGTCTAGCAAAAGCAGTTGTTGGTCTGTTAGAAAGTATATGGAGACAATGGACAGTCTGGGTATATATTTTGGACAACGGTAGGTGGAGTTTCCATTCCTTCCCTGAAAATTACAGTTGGTATATTTGCACCGTCTAGGAAAAGTTGTCCATTTTGTGAGCCGAGTGTTTCTCACAGTCAAGCATAAACATTAACTCCGCAGTGCAAACCTAAGTTTGTTTTCGTAGTTGGTGGATGGCGTGAAAATACTCCGTAAGTGTACCGTATTTTCCGCATCATAAGAAGCACCTAAAAGCATTCAATTTTCTCAAAAGCCGACAGTGCGTCCTAAAATCCGATGCGCCTTATATATCGCGTTAGAGTGGCTTTTTATTCCCCGTTGAGTTGTTTCCCTGTTTTTGTTCCGATGCCATCTAGTGGTGATTATTAGCAGGTGCCAATTGTAACGTAAAAAGAGTTCTGCCCGACACTAATTGAAATGTGCATTCACCAACAGACGACTACTTTATGAGTTCTGCGCAGCCATTATGAAACGAAGATAATACTAAAAGCATAGTTAACTACTATAACTTAATGACTGAATGAAGACTTCGAAGGATATGTCGCCCCTTGTGGATGTGAGCCCACGAGGTTTGTAACTTTTGTCTTTCAATTATTGTTTTGTAATGCCATTTGTATGTGTTTCATGTCCAGTTCTCATGGGCCAAGAAATAAACCCTGTATTTTTCTGGACTTTTATGTCGGGCTACATGCTACATCCTGAGGGAGCTACATATGGATCAATATTCTGATTTCTTGGACGAAGTACGATCAATTTTGTGTAAAGCGCTTTGTTACAGCTGCAGCGGGTATGAAGGCTCTATATAAATAAGGCTGTATTGTATTGTATTCCCTTTAACGTAGCTCCATCTAGTGGATGCATAACGCAATCGCAGCCACTCTTGTAGCTTCCATTTATGTGCCCTATACATGAAAACAGTTTTAAAATAGGACATACATTGAAGGTGTTTCTTATACTCCGAAGTGCCTTATAGTGCGGGGAATGTGTCTGTTATGGATTTGTTTTTTAACCTAATTCAACCCTATAATGCCATTCGTATCATATTTGATATATGCAGTTTCATTATGTAACTCATTCTTTATAGCAGGGGTCCCCAACCGCCGGTCCGCGGACCGGTACCGGGCCACACAGAAAGAACTTGCCTTAATTCCGTTTTATTTATTTCGGAATACGAATGATGTTTTATTTTGAAAAACTACCGGATTCCCCTTTCCATCCGTCTGTGTCACACTTGACACACGTCAAGCCACACTTCTCCTTCACGTGACCGATTACAGTACTTCAAAACAAAACGCAGGAGCTCGCAAAATGAGTTAAAAAAAACTGCTGGAGATCGCAAATGACAGCGGCCTTAAAAGTACGTTCGAGACAACTGGATTAAAGTTATGGCTGAATACTCTGAGATCGCCACAATAGCACGGTTGCTATTTCCGACATCCTACCTGTGTGAGGCGGGGGGTTTCTGCAGCAACGGCGACGAAAACAAAATTACGAAGTAGACTGGACATAAACCACACACTTGAGGTGTCATTGTCTCCTATTACCCCGAGATGGGACCGTCTGGTTGCAGAAAATCAAGCTCGGTGCTGTGGTGAGTCGTCATTTTCATGCACTTTGAATTTGCGTTGTATCGTATTTTGAAGACATTAAACATTGCCATAGCGATCGGAGTGTTGCGGCCAGATTAGATGCTCCTTGTGTTTATTATTATATTTCGAAAACGCCACCATTTTCATGCAGCTCATACCATATTATTTTGTTGTATTATTTCCGCCACACCTTAAATGCCGGTCCCTGAAAATATTGTCTGACATAAACCGGTCCGTGGGGCAAAAAAGGTTGGGGGCCCCTGCTTTATAGTACATTAAATCAACTGTATCAAATTTGATACTGCAGGTTTAAAATATGATTTTCCCCAAATTTTCAGTTTTTGATGTAATCTACATAATGCTTATAAATGTGATACAACAAATATCTAAAACAAAATAATATGGCAAAAATATTTTTGTGGATTTTGTTATAAGGGTTAACACCCAGAAATTGTCAACCTGATATAAATGCACCGAGTAACTCAACATACAAACTGCTAGTTGATTTATGCAATATTTCATATTTCATCACATTTAACTCGACTTCCGCCATTATTTCTCTGTTAACACTGACAATAGTGTGGCACGTACACAGCCCGGATGGATAAGGCAATTATAAAAGAATTTTCTTGGCTAAAATATTTTGCAACATTTCCTGAGTTCATACCGGTTTTGGACATCTTAACTTATTTTAACCCTTTAATGCCTGACCCATAAAGGAATAGCCAGAAAAAATCTGATTTTTGGGAACTGAGATGTTCATTAAGTGTAAATTGCATTGACAGTATTCCACACACTTTTTTTAATTCTTGCTTTTGTTTTTTTTTGTTTTTTTTTGGCAGATGACATTATTTTAAACTCAAACACATTCAAAAGTCTCATAACGCACAGGGTACGCTGAATATGCTCACAAGTGAGGAAGGTCAGTTAAAGTCAGTCAAAGGCTTCATTCAGGCAACCAAACAGGGGAGTTGAGGGGGAGGGTGATGTGTGTTCTCTTAATGTTGCGTTACTTTTCAAAAAAAAAACGGGACTCGCCGGCAGGTGGTCCGACCCTTGCAGAATCAACCCCGTTGTGCTCCGAGTCACAGTGAAGCAGTGTGCAGGCAAATACTTGCAACGTTGGCATTTAATGGATGGCCAAGTACACCCTGCAAACTTTGCAGCCAGCATAATAGCATATAGTTTGCGAGCGGATGCCTCCCTTCTTATAATTGAACCCATCAAGGGTGTGTTAACTGAGCTTTTATGGGCTCGCTATGTTGATTTGGCAACGCAAACCAGACCGAAGTTGGGGTGGGGAACCGAAAAGCAGTTGATGGCCTGGCCTGCCATGCACTTCTAAAAATCAATCCAGTGGTACATGTACCTATGAGATTAATTTGTTCATTCACTTCTGTCCTAGCGCGCGCGCACACACACACAAACACACACACACACACACACACACACAAATAAATAAATGCGCATCTGGTTGTGTTTGTATAATTTGTCACAAGTGATTTTACAACCACGATCTGGTTGCGAGATTAATGACTACCAGTTAGCCGAGTTTGCTGCTGCTACTAGTACTACGACTACTGGTAATAATAATCATAATGATGATACTGTTTCTTCTTTAATTTTTTGGTAACCTGTGTGCCTTGTTGGTATGATGCTGCCACTGGTGTGATTCTTTGCGCTGTCAGTCATTTGCAAACATCACTCCATTGTGATTATTTCCTCATCCTATGTGGGTTCACGCACATCTTAAAAATGAAAATATTTCAATCTGTATGTGTTTTTAGTCTGAGAGCGGCTCCCGGGAATTTCAGCATCAAATAAATCATGCAGCTTCGACCCCCCCCCCCCGAAAACAAAACAGCATCGCTTTTTTTTTTCTTTTCTTTTTTTGGGTGGCAACTTGTATTCCTTACTTGTGAATGAGATAATGGCTAACAAACGGGTCGTTAAATGCTGCTGTCGGCAGAGCGGGCGCCTGTTCCTGCAGGCGTCAGTACCGCACGAAACTTCCAAACGTGTTCGGCTAGAAACGCGCTTCCCCCCTCAGCAACCACATATACAGTCGCTCCTCTATTGGCGTAACGTTGACGCACGGTTCATAAAGTTCCATTTTACGATAAATTGTGTGCCTTCTTGAATATTGCTTAAAAAAAAAAAAAAGTTGTAACATAACAAGTGACGCATTGTTGGACCTGACCCTCAGTTTGGCCAACTAAAGTTGGGGGCAGGGGCTGGTAGCCTGTTGCAGGCACAATAATTAATAGTCGGAAAAGTTGAATTGCTTCCGCGCTTCCACATCACACAAATGCTTGATGGCGATCAAACTGAAATGTCTTTCTTGTGCAATTAGTGTCAAGTGTGCCCAACATTTTTGCGGGATGCACTGGGAATGTTAACAGCTGTTTTCATGACACGTTAGAGCCCAAACAGCATACAATTAATGAATCAAGCACTGTCATAATTTGTTTTGGTCATAGACCCGCCCCCCCCCCCACCCCACCCCACCCCCCACGCAGGCATGCCACCGGTAACCTCATAACTCCCAACTTCCATCGCATGCACAATTAGAATAAGGAAAGTGTGCCCATGCAGCTTCTTACCATTAGGGATAGGCGCAGGACCCCGAAGTGTGTCAGTGGACACAACTGCGTTTGAGCACGTCATCCAGCACGAAAACACAACGCAAAACTTGAGGTACTCCATTGCTGTTAAAGTGCCTGGTTCCGAATGAGGCAGACGAGAGTGGACTTAATTGCCTCCAAGCCCGGCGCGAGGGGGATCAGAATTACAAGCAAAAAGCCCTGTGGGTCTTTTTCTTCTTTTTTTTTTTCTCTTTCCTTTTTTAAATTGCGCTCTCTCGCAATCGGACAATGAATGGGTATGGCAGTAATACTGAGGGCAAGAGGAGTTGGATTTTGAGAGAGTGCACCTCCGGGTTGTTAGTTGCTGAGGGTAGCGTTGCGCGGTCCAGATGACATGAGAGCGTCTCGGAAGGCTTGGGTGAGCTGGGAGGGGAAGATAGCAGCAGTGCCTGACACGCTGACGTCCAGCGTGAAAGTGTGACCAAGCGCAGCTGTATTTGAGCCCCGAACAGACCCTTCCTCTCTCCAGACTACACACTCATAATGACACCCTCCCCCTGCTCTCCACACCACTCCCCCTTTCTTCGACATTCCTCTGTTCAGTCAGTTGTGTGGAGATACTGTACGACAGAAACACTCACCTAAACTAAACTTAACATGAAAACAAAAGTTGATTTGACTATTTAAGAATGGAATGTGACCGTCAATGCTTGTTTTTCTTTATATGTTCCCTTTGATTGGCCAGCGACCATTCCAGGGCATACCCTGCTTCTCACCCAAAGTGGACCGGTTTATTTAATTAAAAAAAAAATAAAATTAAAAATTAAAAAATGCTCCAGATACCAGTTTCACCAACGGACACAAACATTGGTTAGACATGTCTGTCATGACATTGTACGGCAGGGGTGTCAAATTCATTTTTGTCGCGGGCCACATTGGAGTCACCGTTTCCCTTGGAGGGGCATTATGACTGTCAATTCATATGAAGAAGTCAAGAATACTGTATTGGCCCGAATAGACAAGACGGCCCTGATTATAAGACGACCCCCTCTTTTTCAAGACTCAAGTTTGAAAAAAGACGTTTTGAACACCAAACTAATTTTTATCCAGAAAATAATTACGGTACATCTGAAACAAATGATTATATCAATATATTTGAGAGAAAAACCATGTTATTTTGCCTCATTCAAATCTTAATGTTTGAACATTTAAATATGTAAATTAAAGTGCAATCACATTCGGAAATGAGTGGCTTCTGGTTTTTGAAATGTAAATGACATCATAACTTCTCCTCAGCTGCCGGTTAACCTGGCCGATCTTCGACCCACTTTTCTCCAGATTGTCGTTACATTTCTCCATTTTCTTTTATCTCTTCTATTATTTTCTTCTCTTTTTTTCTTACCGCTATTTTTTATTTTTATTCTTCTTGCTACCGCTATTTTTATTTTTATTCTTCGTGACAGGGGTTCACTTTGGCCTGGGGAGTCAAGTTCCGCATTCGCTTCAATGATATCTGGCGCCATCTAGCGTTGTGAATGGGTATAACGTCTAGACCCCGAATATAAGACGACCCCCACACTTTCAGTCTTGTTTCAATGCAAAAAAACACCGTCTTATATTCGGGCCAATACGGTAATTTATTCAACGATTGTTGGAGTGACTGTGACGAGGACTTTGGTCACAAGAAAATGCTTACAATATATGTTATTTATTACGTATGAGAATTTGAAATTTTGCAATGTTTTCACAAGCATCATTCTTGGGGGTTGACATGTTCGAATTGCTTTTGCGGGCCACAGACAATTATGTGGTCGGACAGAACTGGCCCCCGGGCCTTGAGTTTGACACCCGTGTTGTACAGAGTAGTGTGAAGGACCCATGCAAGATAGTGGACAAACCATTTTGGTTTGGAGCACACCTGCCAGGGCTTGTTATATTCCATCTCAATATAACAGTTGGTGTATGCAGTAATCCCTCGCTACTTGAGATTTTATGTTTTGCGGCTTCAGTGCTTCGGCGGGTTTTTCCAAGTACTGTATTCATAAAAAAATAAATAAATAAATAAATAAAAAAAATTATCAAAATAACACAAAAAAATACAACCACAGCGGCAGCCATTTTGCAGAAAGAAGCGTTGTTTCATGTTGAGAGAAGCGAGAGAGAAGCCGAACATAGAGCTGAGGTGACTACAAGGCTTTGTACATGCCTTTACTGTACTGTACACACCACAGGAACTCAAACAAGGCACACGATTGGTTCCCGGCACAACATCAACCAATGAGAGCATGGGTGGATTTATCCCGGGAGCTGATTGGCTGCACATCATCGCAGCCTCACCCAGCACCCTCTCTTGTTGTCTCGTCACGCTGTTGGCTGTCTCGCATACTGTTTTTCAGTGACTTAAATTGCGCTCCAACCCCTTGCCGCCGCCTAAGCAATGCGTCCCGGCTTACATGGGAGCATGTAAGCCACAGGTGTCAAACCCAAGGCTCTGGGGCCAGATCTTACATTTTATGTGGCCCGCGAATGCAAATCAAAGATGTCAACTTCAATGATGCTTGCTAAAATCTGGACCAAAAGATGTAATAAATTACAGAGATATTGTCAGCATTTTTGTGCTCCAACCCCTTGCCGCCAGCTAAGCAATGCATCCTGGCTTACATGGGAGCATGTAAGCCATGGTGTCAAACCCAAGGCTCCGGGGCCAGATCTGGCCCGCCACATCATTTTATGTCCCACCAAATTACAGTAATTTAAACTATAGTTGAAAAAAAACATCATTCTTGACTTCTTTATATGGTCATCATGGCCCTCCAAGGAAAATGGTAACTACAATGTGGCTTGTGACAAAAATGGGTTTGACACCCCTGATTTCAAACCAAAGATGTCAACTTCTATGATGCTTGCGAAAATCTGGACTGAATTTTCAAATTCTCAGATGTAATAAATTACAGAGATATTGTCAGCATTTTTATACCACCAATTTACAGTAATTTAAACTATAGTTGAAAAAAACATCATTCTTGACTTCTTTATATGGTTTCGCAGTCATCATGGCCCTCCAAGGAAAATGGTAACGACAACGTGGCTTGTGACAAAAATGGGTTTGACACCCCTGATGTAAGCCCTCTCGTCAGAGATGGCACCACCAACAGGGACACGTTGCTTCAATGGCAGCGGCGGAGGGCTGATTCACAGTCTTGACCTTATTTTAAAGGTTTCCTGACTTGGTCAGTCGTTTTTATAGACACGTCACAAGGAAGTAGTGACAGTTCAGATGAGGGCTGAAGTGACAGCCGAAACTGTCAGCTAGGTAAGAGTTGTTTTCTTCGCTAAAAAAAGACCATTGTCTGATAAAAAAAAAAAGAAACTTTAAATTTCTTTCAACTAATAAGACGAGATGAACGTCCTAGTGCAACCCATCGCCGTGTTTTTCTCCAATTTAAAAACCTCAGCTGCACCCTCACCGCCTTCTGCAGAAGAGTGAACCGAAAGCCTGTACGAGTCAAGCGAAAGCCTTCTTCTCGTATGTCACCGACACAAGTCTCTTCTCCTCTCTCAGAAGCCAATACTGATGAATTTTAATTACTGAAGGTTTTGTAATTAAAAAATGTATGTAAATATCCGTACTGTTGTCACACCACCCCCCACCCCACCCATTTTGCTGCTGTAGACTGCAAATTTCCCCAGTGTGGGACAAATAAAGGTTATCTATCTTTGCCTCAAATAGGTAAAGTATAAACACTGTTTACATATTTAAAAATACTGGTACCCACATACACAAACACGAAAATTCCTGGGATGGCAAATCCTACTTTGCGTTTTTTTTTTCACCTTTCGTGGGGGGTTCTAGTCCCGTAAAATAAGGGAGTACTGTATTTTTCTTCATCTCTTCATGCTGGTCCTTTTTTTTGGGGGGGGGGGGCATAATTGCTAACTAAGCCAAAATGTGTTGAATAATTTCAATTCGGGTCCTTACAACACCACAGACATATTTTCTGTTATTTCCCCTAAATAACAGATCACTGCACGGTGTTTGTACTCTGTATCATATATTACAATATTATATTGAGTCAGGGCTGAAGCAATGTTGTTGTGAGACTCTTTGCCCTGAATGTCCGTGGAAAGAGTTTGTCACTGCAATTGCAACAACAACCCCACTGTTAAATGGGCAGCAATGAGGAGTGAATGGATTCAGAAAGCAAAAACAGAATTGGGAGGCGGGGCTCGGACATAAGGAACAAGTCAACGTACTTCTTGCAGAGTACTCAGAGTATATTCCTGCCGACCCGCTGCCCTTAAAACCACAACTTTGGCTCATGTTGGTCTCATTCCTCATTACGGGTGACTGACTTGTCCCATCTGGCAAATCGTTCCTATACTGAAGCTCCGTTGAAATTGTTTCACTTAATGACATCACAAGGCTGCGGGCTGAATGCGCGGCAGTTTAATTTTTCAGGATTACTTCTCCAATATACCTTGAAATTGTCCAGCGAGCCCTTGCCAGACAATTTTACGACGACGACTCATTGTTTTTCCTGCCATAAGTCAACATGCGGGTCGTGCTCATGCGAGTGGTGGGATGATGTTTTGGAGATGGTTACAGTATAACCGGTTGCTGAAACACATTCAGAAAAACAGAAATCCTCTTGAATGTCTCGTGAGCACACAAAAGCCAAGCTGACACAAAGTAGGCTTAGCGGACGAGTATCACCTTGATTACACGCATCACCAATTCCTTTAATACGACACTCTAGAATTGCTGGGTGAGCAATTTTGTTTGAATCCAGATTCAAGTCAGTGATACAGAAATGTTTGTCGTGCTGATTCTCTTCTGCACGCTGGCAACAAGAAAACGGTGATGTGAACATTTGGAAAAGCTGAATTTCATTACGTTTTGAGAAGTGTCCAAAAGTACTTGGGGCAAGTCCAGCCGGAGCCCTGACTGGGACTCCAGAGCTCCTTTAATTTTTTAAAGCACGGCAGGCCCTGGCACGGAAGTTTGACATGTGCGCCCCCCCCCCCCCCCAAAAAAAAAAAAACGAAAGATAGTTAATACAGAAGCAGGAAAGCTGCTCTGGTAAATGATATCAAGCACCACCTGCACGAGATTGTTCACGTTCTATTTGTCAAACATGACACTTGAAGGCAAAGCGCAGCCATTCCAGAAGCGCAGGTGGCGAGTTTTTATCGCTGCACTTGCATTCCAGCTCATTTGGGTGCCACAAAACACCAAACATCCCCAGTCTGTGCTGTCGTCGCATTAGCAAAAAGCGCTAAAATGGTGCGGCGGCGTCCTGACGACACAGAACGTCGTCTATTCCCGGCAACCCTCATCCAGACTGTCTTTTACAGGCTTACAGGCGGGGGTTTGTGTTTAATCGGCTAAAAGAAGAAACAGATGATGCAGCAGACTGCCAAGGAGACGTCTGTCTACCCATGCAGATGAATGAGAAAACTTCCTTTAGGAAAGGGGAACGCCGAACATGAAAAGCGACAATCCAGGTGGAGGTGAGTGCTTCCTTGAAAAGGTTGATGCGATCAACAATGTTCGACGTCATATGAATAATACAACAACAAAAAAATCTGTCTGATCTTGTGAATGATCTGCTTATTGCAACGTCTAAGCCACGGAACCGTCTGTGGTTTGGCGACAGCCGGTATGACATTACTTTTTGTTGCTACAATATGGCTGCATATTCACTCGCAGTGGCAACTCGTATTTTCTCGACACTCGGTTCACTCCTCTTTGCCAAAATTGCAGCTTGCCTGATGAAGAATGGCTTTTTAAAAAAATACTTTTGGATTTTTGATCACCTGGCAGACGCAGTTACATCCCACGGAAGTCACTTCCTGGATTGTTTGCATCAGTTCCATCCATTTTGTGATCGAACTCGGAGGCCTGTGTGAAGCAAATGTGGCGACGCCATCCTCGATTGAACAAGCACACAAGCGGTACTGTCAACGCAAGTGTTCAATCTATGAGCCAGCGTAGTTTTGCAAGCACAACACGTTCACTTTTTCAATCATGACTTTTAACCCTTTCATGCACCCTGTCACCTGATAACATGATAAGCTGTCCACTGGAGTTGGCCGCTGTCCCCGAAAGGGTTGATTATCTCCACGGACAGTGATTTAAAAATGAAACGGCCGTACACTACTAATTATTTTACAGTGGTGTTCATAAATTCTAATTCTATTCCTTTTTTTTTTTTCCTCAGAATCTACCCTCAGTTATTTGTTGAAAAACTCACCATGCCACAAAATGGTGCCAAAGTGCCTCGCTTATCGGAAAACAAGTCAATATTGTTGAACTGACATGTCATCCGAGAGAATCAGATCTTTGTCGGGACGGAGTTCCGTTTTGCATGGTCTGCTAGGTGCGTTTTTTTTTTTTTTTTGGTCAAGTCAACTTTATTGTCAATGTGCTACATGTGCAAGATACAGCACGGATCAAATTACATTCCTCAGGAGAGAGAGGAACCGCTGCGGGTGCCCGCGCTGCCATCCAAACATTTTAAATATCAACTCATCTGGAAGCCATTTAATTTTTAAATTATGTTTTTTAAAAATAATCATACTTTCTGGAATATTAGCAGTTTCAGCTATTATTCTAGCCACTTCCAATTACTCAACTCAATTCAAATGTATTTATAGAGCACTTTCAAACAGCCATCGCTGCACACAGCGCACAGGCCCCAGAATTGAGCCCTGTGGAACACCACATGACAGAGGAGCAGTACGTGACTCAGAGCAGCCAAGGCTGACACAAAAGGTTCTGTCAGCTAAATAAGACCTAAACCACTCAAGAGCGCTACCGCCAATGCTCACCAAGTGCTGCAAACAAGTCAGCAAAGTACTGTGATCCACCGTATCAAATGCTGCAGTTAAATCCAATAAAACTAGACACACGTAGTCTCCAGTGTCATTTGCCAGGAGGATGTCATTCGAAACGCGTAACAGGGCTTACTCCGTGCTATGCATCGTCTTGGAACCTGACTGGAAGACCTTTTTACAGGGCATTTTCTTTTTTGAGGTGCGTCTTTTTTTTTTTTTTTTTTTTTTTTATGAGTCACAGTGGGGCTTGGCCCCTATATTTTCTGTACTCATGAATATTACTCTTGACGATAAAGGTAATGTGTGTGGGTGTGCAAGATGGAGATGCAGAAAAGAGGAAAGAGAGTTATTTGGTTGGATAATTTTCTACCAGTACAAGGGATCTCTGAATTTCATAACCCCCCCACCAAAAAAAAAGACTGTCATCACATTCAAAACCTACTTTTTGGACCTTCAAACGTGATTAGCTGTTCTAATTTTCTGTCAAGTCATCAAATGTGTCCACCGAGCTCTGATCACACGCAATGACGACGACGCAAATAGTTCTGAGATTATTGGTGTCATCCTATCTCGTACTTGTCATTCAAATTTAGAACTGGACAAAATAGTCTTGGGAAGACAGTTAGCAATGACCAAAATGACAGTTTTAACCTTTTCGGGGACAGCGGTAACTACAGTGGGCATCTTATCACGTTATCAGGTTACAGGGTGCATGAAAGGGTTCGATTATGTTTTCAGGCATCATTTTCTTTTACTATTTTCTGCATGTGTCTTCTCGTGATTGACATTTGTACCAACTTTTCTGTTTCTAGGTCACTTGTTTTTCCTAAAAATAACTACAAAACACTTTCAAGGCAGGGGTGTAAAAGGACGTTGTGATGTCGTAGATTGGTGACGATCCACAACCAACATTATTTTTTTCATCCCGACGCTCGGAGACTTGAACTTTCCATGAAGTTACTTTCCAGTGACCACTCAGAAAGAAAAGGAACAGCAACCATGAAGATTTGAGCAGCATATGACACAGGATGGACTTTCATTTGAATCTCATCTCATCCTTTGGTGGGCAAACAGGGCTGTGTAAACATTACAAGGAGAACAGAATTGAGGATTGCGTCAGTCCGGTCTGTTGCGTTTCCATGACAAGAGTGACTTTTCTTTTTCATATTACCCAGACGGGTGTGGGGAGGAGAGAGTGGGTGAGGTTGAGCTCTTAATACAGTGGGTAACATTTATGAAATATGCCGAACATTCGATGCTGTTCATCATTTGTGACAAGTGATGAGTTGCATACATTTTGACAATTCTGGATTTGTTAATACAGTACAGCGGTTCCTAAATCCGACCCACGCCCCATTCTGTAAAGCCATATTTGGTTGACCCGACAGCACGGCAAATGCGGTATTGGTGCCCGTCCTGCATATACAGTGAAACTCCTCTTCAACGAAATCATGTTTGCAGCAAGAAATTTTTCACAACAGGGGTTTTTTCACTGTAGGAAATTTGATCTCAGATGTAAACACACTCACACACACACACACACACACACACACACACACACACACACACACAAACGTACGTGTACACACACACACGAAAGTGTGTGTACTCTTTATTTTTATTCCAATAGTGCATAAGTATGAGCATACACTTATTTGACACATCATATAGTCAGTGTAGAAAGAAAAAAAGGGAAACAAATTGCGAAATTTACGATCAGCATTCACATTCACCTACATCAATTTCTTGGATAATGTCTTATTTTGCTTCCTCCGTCTTTAATTTTGATCACTTTTCGTCATTGTTTTCATGTTTCTTGTGCAGAGCGTGCCTGTTAAGTGATGTATCGTTGCACGAAAGTGTAATGACAATAAAGCGATTCAACATTCAACATTTTACCCTCTCTTCCAGCGTCAGAGCTCTTGTCTTAGCTGCTTGACATCCAAATGTCCATTTTGTAGCAATTTGAGCAATGCAACGTTCTTGCTGCGTCTGAAACTAACAATAACAAATACTTCCTGGACTACTGCGCATGTGTAAACCAGTGTGGTGTTTGCTGTTGCCGTTTCCGAACGAAGCATTAGAGTTCGCTGTTGGATTAGACTTCGTTGTAGTGAATCTCGTCGCGAGGCAAGAGCAGAGAAAAAGATTTCGTGTAACGCAACAGGGTTTTTTTTTCATTGTATGGGGGGCAGGAAAGTGGGAATGGTGTTAATGAATGAAGACTTTTTTCACACTAGGGGGTATTTTCACCCATGTAGGTTTCATTGTAGAGGAGTTTCAGTGTAATTGTGAGTGAGACTTGAGAGAGGACACTAACAAAACGGGGGCATGATTCTGAAAATGTAGGTGCAACTCCAAATTGTACAACTTTTCAGGTGTACCACTTGCGCTCCATTTTAACCCTTTCAGTGGACAGCTTATCATGTTATCGGGTTACAGGGCGCATGGCAGGGTTCTTAATGGTTGGTGTTGTTTCTCATGGCCTCTTTTACATCCTGAATCTGTTGTCTCGTTCCCAATTGTGCAAATATGTTGTTGTCCGTTCTCTATTTGCACAGATGTGGCTTGGGCCATTTGTTTTTTTACGCCGGGTTGCAACACAAGATACCACCAATTGCAGATAGTTATGCCAGCCGGAGCTAGCAGCAACTTTTGTCTGTGTTCCATTTACTGTTTCTAATCTTGGTCTTTTATCCGGCAAAGCGCTTAGCTAGCTCACCAAGTAGTCGTTGATTTATATCAGGGATAAGTACCGTACAATTGGCTTTGTAATACGAATGCTGCGCTTGATTTTAAATGCAGCCGGGAGGGAGGTACTGTAGCAGCAACGTTCGTGTCAGCTCCCAACACCAACACTGTTACTGGTGTTATCTGGCAAACTGCTTTTTTTTTTCTATCCATGTGTACAACAGGCTTTTATATTTCGACGTCCTTCAGGTGTTGCAGGTTTCGTTTATTGGAAAAGAAAGTGTGGCCGTGCTTGCGTTCGTTTGACATGCAGGGGGCAAGTCAGCACTACGAGATGATTATTAGAACAATTGTGGTTTTGCATCGTCATTCACAACACCCAATTCAAGACAGTTTTTTTAAATTGATATTTCCTTTATTGAAGTTTATTCACATTCATTGGCTTCTTCCATGACGTTTAGGCTCTCTATATTTGTACACAACTTATTAGTACATTAAATTTAAGACAGTATGGTTGTAGTTTACTCACAAAGTAGGTTTTAATCGCCTGAAGGTGGCGTAGCAACCATTAACCCACCACACGAGACGCATATGATCAGCCCAGCCTTCTCAAGGAAAGTTAGTCACATTTATTTCTCTTTTTATTATTCCACCAACTATTTCAGACCAGAAATTGTTGTAACAGAGCAAGATGTATCCACAATATCAATAAAATATCCCTGACAAAAAAACAAAACAATCTCTGCTGAGGCATACAAACATTTTGTTCATCATCAAACAGTTCAACTGAACACACATTAACCAAAGCAAACAGAACTATCAAGAATCTGCATATTTGTAGAAAAAAAACTTCAAAGTATCAATAATGACCATTTGTAACTATTTTTTTCGAGAATTCTTGCTACAGTGCGCGTACGAAGTGAACCAATGGTGACTCAACATAGAAAATGTCAATGCGTAGAAGAAATCAGTTTTTTTTTGTGTGTGTGTGTGTATGTATGTACACTCCATAGTCAGTTGCGAGTGAGTGAGCAGTCGGTGACACTAAATTTAAGTGGCATGCATTTTAAACCTGAGTCTATTCGCAATGTCAGTGGCATCGAGCAGGCTTGGCAGTCACGGGAATGTGGCTTACATGAAGCGCTAGCGACCCCTTGTGGAGGAAGCCGAGTCATACACTTTAAATCATTATCAATTCCGGTATCCTTTTTTTTTTTTGGTCGGTGAAAAGTATTGTCATTAAATTAAAAGTTAACTGAAAGCACACACGTAAAGCAGCGCAGAAGCGTGCCGTGCTGTGGAATCAAACGACACACTGAATAAGTGCTTTTTTTGTTCAAACACAACACGTACTTAGTCCACTGTTTGAATTTGAGGACCATGTTACATAACGCTGTACAGTCTCACTGAATCGTACAAATGACATGTTTTATTTTTACACAAAATAATTTCCATAGTAACCGAGGCTTCCCAAAAGTTAACACAAGCTGAAAAATCCGACTGCAGCAACGAAAGACTAAAACAAACCTTCTAGCTTCACGTCTGTGTTTCTTCACGTCGTGCTTTCTTAGAACGTAAATGTTCTTTTCTGTTAAACTATTTGTTAGAGGACCGTTCTGACACATGAATGCATTCGGGACGGCTTACTTTTTTTGTGGGGGCTTTTGTGGCCTCGTTCCTTCCAGCAGCTTTGCATGGTAACGTTTTTTTTTGTTGTTTTTTTTTTTTAACTCTTCAGTTAGTCGTCTCAAAAAACATGAAATCCTGCAAAAAAAAAAAGAAAAAAAAAAGGAGAACAACGGATGTTAATGGAGAAAACGGTAAACTGACAGTGATGCAAGCACCAAAGTTGAATTGCCTGCCATGTCCTCTAAATTAGCTGTAAAAACCGTTCTGACGTTTGGAAGACACAGAGGGGGCTGAAAATCTGTTTTAAGTTTATGGTGAAGGCGGTTAGTTTCACATCACACTTCCAACTAAATCCGAGCCAAGCGCTACAAAGAGTGGTCACTACAGGAACATTTCCGACAGCCAGAGAACGGAAAAGTCATCTCAGAGGAAACCTTTGAGCCCCTTCGAGTTGACTCTGACACAGAACAGACAATTGCTCACCTTTCACTCGTAAAAGAATGCTAACTAGCTGTGCATCGATGTCTGCAATCACCCACAGGTCCTTTGTGGATCCTTATGTCCCAACTTTTTTTTTTTCATTATTCTGACTATTCTTAAAAATATGCCACAGCCTGGCACCAGAACACAGACATTGCTTGGTTAGCAAAAATAGTGCCTCAAAATTGATACAAAATGACTTCTTGTCTAATATAACACTGAGCCCAAGGGGTCCCGTCCCAAGAGTCAGACTGAATGAATAAGAGGACCTAAATCTTGCTTTTTTCTTTTTTTTTTGTAGCTGGCGATTCCCTGATCCTTCCAGACATATTCAGGATGTTCTGGTAAAACTACTCAGGTGGACCCTTTGATCAAAAATGTCATCAACTTGGCAAAATTGAGGAAGGAAATTGTGCTGAGAGCTCAAGCACTGTTGTAAACTTCAAAATATCCGGAAAGGTGGATGAGGGACCGGAAATGTTTTTTGTGTGTGTGTCACAGTGGAATACTTACAATGAGAAAACATGCCCCGATCATGACAGCCTTCATCCTGACGTCCAGGTCCATCGGAAACTGGATACCAAAGTTGTCAGAATCTGTGAACACTTCCCGAAGGAGGCCAGTCCATTGCTTGCTGATTTTCCCAATCTTGCTGACCTCATCCATGGTCAGAATCTAAAAGAAGACACAAACTTTGTATTGGTTGCCTATGAAACCATGGCCGGATTCCCATTCAATTCCAGGCTGTCTGCCCGCTGGCCCAATGACGCGAGTTTTGGGGCTCATAAAGACAGCGAGGGAAAAAACAGGCTTGTGATATTTACGGTTCAGTTACTTCAAGCTCTGTACAAATGACCTTGAATCCCTGTTCACAGCAGAATCAGCTTTGAGCGCCCGGAGAATCACTGAGCACCTCAAGAAAAGCCCATGAACGAAATCCGGACAACTTGAAGGGATTGCCGTGTTTGGTTCGACCCACCTCAAAGTCCACATCTGGAAGGCAACTCCATCCGCAAAAGGGACCGTGGATCTTCAGGACCGGCTCCGTGTGTTCATTGGCGACAATGAATTTTGGGGAGAAGGGGTGCCACTGTTGCATGACGTACCCCACCGTGTTTCCCGGGGGGGCCTGCACCTCCAACTACAACAAAAAATCGTTTGAACATCACATATCGTAGAAATTTGATTCAAAATACACGTTGTACTTTGCAGACTACATTTGCTTTGATTTGGTCACAGTTGAGAATAGAATCAATCGAAATTATATTTAACCCTTTCAGGGACAGCGGTTACTACAGTGGACAGGTTATCATTATTTGTGATGCATTAAGTTATTAAATTATGACCTAACGACGCAACAGCGCACAGTATGGCGCCTGCCTCTCGACATAGCATCAGACAGACCTACGAAGTCGTTGATGGTCCGCATTAATAAACAATTTTATAAGAATATTTCTTCTTGTTTTCTCTTTCGACTGTGTGGTGTGCCCAAGTAATTCCCTGATTTGTTCCAAGCCCACATTGCTTTGTGAGTTGTTATTAAATTTACGTTTTGTCGAGTGAAAGTTTTTACATGTGGAATTGAATAGCAATCGCTTTTCTGTTGCGCAGTAATGTCATCATTGCTCCCGCCATACTGTGTCGCGGGTAATGTTTGTTTCTTTTCAGTTTTGCTTACATAGTTGTTCTTGTTGTTGTTGTTTTTTCCATTTGGTTGATTATGTTCCTGGCGTGAGCCCGCGGTTCGTCGCAGCCGCCATTTTTGTTACAGTTGTCACGCAGCCGTTCGTGCTGCGTGTGATGTGTTTAAAGACATCTCGTAAATAACAGCGACTTCTTTTTATTTTTTCTTTTACTGTATGTTACTTACTTTACGATCGCACACGTTGTAGCAAGCGTCAATTTGCCTCTTGAGTTATACCATCTCAACTAGAACGTGGGGGATAGTCCCCAAACAATTTTCGTCTCTTGATAAACACACCTGCTAAACCCCAGTGGAACGAATAAAAGAGCCGTCGACAAGACAGGTGTAGGAAAAAATACATTTGGCCAAAAAGGCAAAAACACAGATTGGCAGAAAATCGTGTCCGTCCGACTTCGAGTGCCGTCTCGGCTAACTTAGCTTAGCTTTTGTCGTGTGTGACGTCATTTGCGTCGAGGCTGATTGGTTGAAATCAAAAGACGCGCTTGCGTACATGTTCGCGCTGAAGCACGCACAGCAGAGAGCAGCGGACTATCTCTACTGCTGAGGCTCGCTTAGCTTGAGTGGCGTCGCCACAACAGTCATACCCTCGCCTCGCATTCTCATGGCCTCGCCATATCTTGGAGATTTCGAAATTTCGGCCCGAACGGAAGCCACAAAGGGAACACGTGTGCACACAAAAGGAAGATTAATCATTGAATGT